CATAAGTAGACATGAAGTAGTCATTGAAGATCGAACATATGATTGCACGGTCGGTTATGGCAGTTCCATCAGAGTTTACAATAGTGTTTATACAACTTGATTTTCTATTCTGCCTACGGTCCAAAAGTTTTGAGATGCAGCCTACCACGTTGGCGCCCTTCAGTGCCATTACTTCCTCAGAGCATAGCATTTTGTGGTGGTCTTGGTATAACGCTGTAAGCAATCTGGTGTGGAGCATCAGCAGAGTAAAATCGTTTGTTTTCCTAAATTTTTCTTTATTTTATAAAGTTTAGTGGCTACCTTTTTTGAGATGCCTGCAGGAGCAGCAGTCCTTTTCAACTTCTTGGTACGTTCTGGAGCCACAGCTTCAACACAAAGCTGAATGCGGTGGTAGAATTCATTACAAGCAATTTGTACATTCTGTGCTAAGAAGAATGGATCCCAATATGAAGACCTTATAAGATCCGAGAAAATTGACCAATTCACAGAAGAGAATGGGCGATAATTTATCACTGATTCTGTCGGTTTAGAAAGAATTTGGAAAGAACAACCAACAATGTTATGATCACTACCCGGCAACTTATCACTGATGTATGTGGACACATGCGAACATCCCATCGTAAATATTAGATCAAGTGTGTTTCCAAGCCGTTTAGATTCTGTGACGTGCTGTACCCATCCCAGTCGATCAAGAGTAGACATAAAAGGATTGTGTTTTTGTGGTTTATTGTTAAGGGACCATGAGATTTCTGGCATATTAAAATCCCCAAATCTCAAATTGCACCTCTAATGCAGCCTGATTAACTTTTTTTTACAAGGGATGCAAAACTTAGGGTCTAATGACAACACATTTAGTTGTGTTGGGCTAAGCATGATACTAGAAAGGTTTAACACGTACCGCTCCGGGTTACCTGGAAAGTTCAGTTGCGGCACTTGACTATTTAGCGAGCTAAGCAACTTCTTTCTTTTCTGTGCACCCCTTTACTTTTTAACTTGTTCTACATATGCTTCAAAAGGTTTTCGTAACTCTTCCGATAAGCCCATGACGGCATGCATTCGTTGTGAGATGAATCTTTCCAGCTCCGATAATTTCGTGCGAATGTTATCCATATAGTTGAGAGTGTGCCGCCTCGAACTGAGCACATTAGGGTACAGATCACATCGGCGTATATCTTTCCAAAGGTGTTTTGGATACCGGCATGACTGTAAGCACTCATTGAAGAATTTCAATTCAACCTCAGCTTCTTCATACCGAGCACTGAACTTCAGATACTCATCCAAAAGCTTGACTGAATCACGGGGAATGCTGATCCTCAGAAATCCGAAAATTCCAATTTATTAGAATGAATCAAGGGAAACAGAATCTGAGTAAAGAATTTTTTCCGGTAATTCTCATCGGACTCAAACATTACATGATGGGGAGAGAGTAATAAATGTGCCGGATTGGGCTGCGTATTGAACAGCATGTTTAATTTCACGGGTACAAATCAATAAATCACTGAATTATTGGAAGTGGCAAACATGTACAGGGGAAATCACAGCTGAAGTTGTAGGCTGTAGGACTAGTTAATACTAGTCCGAGACGGTGCGCGAAATTAAGCGCGGATATCAGAAGGCAATGGGAGTCGGACACAGCGGATTGTATTCGATGGGCTACAATAAGAAACGGACGGATGAAGCGAGGCGAGAGCGCACACGTGAGCGCGGGAACTTACGAGGTGGTCGAGTGACGAGCCGGTTGTAAGGACGATTAAAACAAGAAGGAATAATGTACAATCGGTCAACAGGTAACTTGTACATGAAAGATAGGCGTTACCTTTGTGAGCGCTACAGAGCTCCCCCCCCTTAGAAGGCTGAACAGAGAAAGCCTTCGATTTCGAAGGGGACTGTTGAATCAAGGTTCTTAAGGCAAAGTCGTGCCAAGGAAAAATGAGGGAGCGTTCGTGTAAATGGGGGTTCGCCGGAAGTCGGAGTCTGCTGTGCCGTTTGTGATTTGTTATTCATTGATTGCAGAGCAGGGTGCATTTCGGCGAGCCGTTGGAGCGGGCTTGTCGGACTACAAAAATAATGGCTAGCCCAGAGAAAGGCTGACAGGACCTCAACCTCCGCTGCTGCCAAACGGTACGCTTGGGAGTTGTCTCTACCCCCGACGCACCCCGCCCCGCGCCAAAACGACCCTCATCTCACGAAGAAACGACCATGGTCCCACGGAGAAGCGACCCTCGTCCCGCGGAGAAACGACCAGTGTTCGCGTCAGGGTCCTCGAAAAAATTCTTCGTGTGGGCCAGTCGATCGAAGGGGAGGGTTTGAGGCATGTAGAGACGAGAAAATAGAAAAACACGCGCAGAAAACGCCAAAAAGAACAAACGAATTATCTGCGTGTTTAAATATTTTTGGTTTTCGAATATTTTTAGAAAAGGTTTTGCGGAGGTTTTTGATATTTTTGTTTTCAAAAAGTTACTCGACCAAAAATGGGGCAAATATATACAATAACTACAAAGTTAAAAGTGTTTACACTGTACATAGTCGGAGAAACGAACGGGCTTACGCACCTCCCGACTACGGCGATTGGTCGTGGGAGGCGGCGGACTAGATTCGGGAGATGTTGGGACGGCTTGTAGACCGAGATCGTGGTCTGGTTAAACTGCACTAGGATGCTGTAAGCTGGTGCGGTGAGTTGTGACGTCGCACGAAGCACTACTAGACGAAGTAGGAGAGGGGTTTTCTTCCATAAAGACTGGTTTTAGACGGTCAGTGGTGACGACTTCGTGTCGAACACAGCGGTCAATAGTGTACGCCTTACTCGCACAATGAAGCCCCTTGAAATGGCCTATGTACGGCGACTGAAGAGGCTGTCGAACACCGTCTGCGTGAAGAAGGACATGTGAACACGTAGACAGCTTCTCGGGCACGTACACTGGTGTCTTCTGCGATCGAGGAGCGGGTGGACGTAGCTCACGCATCTGGTGAGCCAATCGGTCAGTGTAACTTCCGTAGTCAAAAGTGGAAGTACATGGGGCTGGTGCTACCAGCTGTCCGGGCAACCGCAGCGTGCAACCGTAGACTAGCTGCGCTGGTGTTGCGTCGAACTCGGCTTTAACCGTGTTTCTTAAGCCTAGGAGGACAAGGGGCAGCGTTTCAGACCATGAAGGATCTGCGTGCGCACGTAGCGCTGCCTTCAACTGGCGGTGAAAACGCTCCACCATGCCGTTAGCGGCCGGATGAGACGCCGTCGTCTGGACGTGGTGACAGCCTAAATCCTTAAGCAACGTGACAAATGTTGACGAGAAATGTGACCCTCGATCGGTGGTCACGATGGCGGAACAGCCGTATTGACCTACCCAACGCTGCAAGAAAGCTTTCGCTACTGTTTCCGAAGAGCAGTTAGGTATGGGAATGGCTTCCGGCCACTTAGTGAATCGATCGACACAGGTCAGTAGATACACAGAGCCTTTGGGAGGTGGCAGAGGACCTACGAGGTCCACGTGCACGTGATGAAAACGTGCGTCTGGCGTCGGAAAGGTGCCTAATGGGCTTCTCGTGTACTTGTGTGCCTTCGCGCGTTGACACGGAAGTCAAGCAGCTGCCCAGATACGGACGTCCCGATTAACATTGCGCCAAACGAATCGTGCGGTTACGAGTTTAACCGATGCACGAACGCCTGGATGAGACAAGCTGTGCAACGTGTCGAACACGGTCTGCCGAAACTCGCGTGGAACGACTGGGCGCGGCGTGCCCAGAGATAAATCGCAGAGTATAGTTCCGTCTGCTGATGTCAGCCGAACGGGTCGTATGTCCAATGAGGAAGACCTGCGCAGTAGATCAATCTCAGGATCGTTGATTTGTGCTGTGGCCATGGCTGCCAAGTCGATAGCAGTGCCGGCGTCAGCGGAGATAGCTTGGATGCGGGAAAGTGCATCGGCGACGGCGTTGTGCACACCTGAGACATGCCGTATATCGGTCGTAAACTGAGCGATATAGTCAAGGTGGCGCGACTCTCTAGGAGAGTATCGGTCGGTAGTCGAGCCGAGCACGTAAGTCAGAGGTTTGTGGTCGGTGAAGATGGCAAAGGAGCGGCCTTCTAGGACGTGTCGAAAGTGACGTATCGCTGGATATACAGGTAGTAGTTCTCTACCGAACGTGCTGTAGCGCGATTCGGTAGGTTGTAGGCGTTTGGAGAAAAACGCTAAGGGTTGCCACGTGTCGGCTACTTGTTGCTGCAAAACAGCGCCGACTGCTACGTCCGAGGCGTCAATGAACAATGAACAATGATTTATCACGGGATAAAAGCAAGTGCTTGACACGTCCCGTAGAATGGTTGGGTGAATATGATGAAATCAAAATATGTCTGGGTCATCTATCGAACGTCTGCTGAGATGAATAGTTTGATAATTAACATCAGTGTAAAATTAAAATAAATTATCGAGCGTAAACGTTCAGAAAGACACTGGGGTGCAGTGATCGTTGAGGTAAGGAGTGAGAAGGGTAAAATATGGTCGCTCACTTAGGTCCATTTGATACATAAATCCTGTTGAAATGCATCCTTGGTGTAATCCACAGTAGGGGAGTTTAGGTAACAAAATGTTGGGAGCTAAGAGCAACATCTAATCGTTTTTTGAAAACATCCAAGGTAGGAGAGGATACAACTGAGTCTGGGAGTGCGTTCCAAGGTTTGCAAACCCGAAGGGAAAAGTAATTCCATCGACACTCTAGACGGCAGTATTGTTCCTTCAACATTAAGCACTTACCCCTGAGCTGCGTGTTGTGGCTAAGTTTCAGCAAATGGCGGCATACGTGGTTGGGGTCACTCAATATTTGATACGCTAATATGAGATCACCGCGCAGTCTTAAATAAATAAATAAATTGTATATGGCTCGACGATGCGAGAAGCCGTTCCCAGAAGGGACGGATCAAATAATGGTACAGCAGTTTCATATCATGGTATAATAAATTTTAAAAAAATGTGAGCACAAAATGAAAACTTGTGTAGCGCTAAACGGTCCAAAATATTTACATTCCTCTTGTTTTATCATCTGACAAGTTTTTAGCAGTCACATGAGAGTTGATCGCACACGAGAGAAAAAAGAGAGAATAAAGTGCTGCGGGCCAACAAAATATAACCACTTGTGCACTTGACCACATGCATTTTCAGGCACCATTAACTCCGTTCTCAAAAGCGTTATCTAAGGACTGTGCTGTTCGAAACATTATTATCACATTTTGAACGGTTAAATGATCTGTCATCGAAAGCTTAAACAAACGCAATGTGCAACAAGTTCTGATAGCTCTTGGTAGTTTGTTCCAAAGCTTTGAGCAGTGTATTAAGAAGAAACGCTCCCTAATTCGAGTATGGAACTTTGGAATCATGACCGTTGTCTCCTTATTTCGTAGTTCGTATCTATTGTTAACGGAAAGGTGAGACAACGAAAGGTGAGACAACAACAACACGTTTGGACTTGGTGGAGAGAACGCGTTTCCTAAGCAACAGCGTGTGCAACTCGGAGGCGGAGATTCAAATAGTTTACTGCGGTGCGTTCTTGTTGTTCCTAATTAAATCGCACAGTTTCCGGGAGTTGCCATTTTTCACCAATATTATATTTAGACGTGGATTTTCAGTTAAGGATCAAAAGTTGGCACCCATTGTCTAAGCTTTTCTGATTTTGCTTTAGTGTATCTTACTTCGGTTTCATTATCATCACTACAATAAGGACACGCTCCATGAGGAAAAAAAGTATTATGAGCCAGGATTCTTCCATCTTAGTTCAAAATCTGAGACAACGAACTAAAGTACTTTGCACAAAGACTGGAAGCAGTAGTAAAGGAAATACCCGAAGCAGTGTAGGCACTGTAGGAAATTCCCTACATGCTGACCTGAGAAAGACACCTCAAACATGTCCATCAGTAGCTGAAACTGCATACGCTGAACTTGCATCAAAGGCCGACATGCTCACATCGATATTGCAACCCTTGCAGAGTCTATCTGTCTTATTTGATTCGCCCCCAAATGTTGATAGAATGAACCTCATGAAGTGCAGTATACTGATAGACTCCATTTCGACCGAAGTACACAATCGAGTACGCTGTTCACGCAATGCTGTGGTATTTAATGTGCCAGACAAATTACCATCAAAAACTGTTCAGAAATTGCTTCTTACTGCATGCGGTATGCAATCTTGTTGGTCCAGCTGCATCAGACTACGAAAAAATGTAATGCGTTACGCTTGTCCCATACTTTTCCAGTTTGAAAATGAACTTATCGCTAAACAGTTTATTCTAAAGCGCAATCTCATTGTGCTTAATACGACTTTCAAAAGTTTGAAAATTATGGAGGACAAAACCCCGCTACAACGAGAGATAAGGAGGAGAACTTCTGAATTAAAACAGATTACCCAACAGCCATATGGCGCCCCTCACCCAGCTGATATTGCTCCACTTAGTGGCCAGCACAAATGTGAGGATAATACTCCGCTTGCTGCAAATAGGGACGAAGCGTTGGATGATCAAATGATTTCTGAAATTAACAAGGAATCTCATGCATATGCGGGCCACTCTATTGCATCAGATGATGTGTCCGGTAGAACACCTAATTCTCGCCCTTCGAAGCTAAGGTCAACGTCAGATGCAAAATTGGTCACTGAAGGACTCCCACTAGGCCACAGATTCACGGCTAAGCGTGTTAAGCCGATCAAGCCCAAAACGACTACAATC